CTAAGTAGTTGCCAAGGAGTACAGCGCTTCGGAAATACAAGGAGACTTAGGTTCTGTCCGTCCGTTCGATCGTGGAAGCGCGTCGGATGCAGCCACGATGGCAAGCGCCCATCGGCGCTGCCGGCTCTCTCTGCGGCCATTTACAATTCAATTCAATTCATCCGCAATTACAATACAAGTGACCCACCCGCCTACTCATCTACAACCCCCTTCCCCCTCCCCCTCCCCCTCCTCCCACTTTACGATTCTACGTGCGGCGTTCTCCGAAGGGAAGGTCGGAACTTTGTCGGAACTTCAGCTTCCGCGGCGCAGAATTCCCGAAGAACTCGGGGCTCGGATTCGATTTAACGGGAAATTAATCGAGAGAGTTCCAATCAAATGTCGCGAGGCGTGAATCAACATGAGGCTTTTTCTGATTCGCGTGTTTAGAAATCTATATGTCTGTAACAAGTTTTACACGTTTACGCCGCGATATTGATATTCATACGATTAATACTTGAAAATATAGACGTGTGATATTTTACTGCGTTATCCAAAGCTCGCTTTTAAGAATCCTAATAACCGATAGGACGATATTAACCAGGTAATTAATGATCGCCAGATTGGAAAAAAAAAAAAGACGACAAACGCGATCGCCGACGGAGGAGATTCGCGTCGCCGGGAGGCGGGATTGATCGATCGACGCGATCGAGTATTCGGACCGAGCACATTCGCGGCCTGATAAAATTTCGATAAAGCGCGACCGACGCATATTGCGACGATATCACGATTTCGAGATTCGGATAAGCCCGAGCGCGATAGAGGGGAACACGATGAGTTCCGTACGTAAAGGTAAAACGCAAACGTAACGTAACGCGCGCACGACGGACGGACGGACGGACGGACGGACGGACGGCGGAGAGAAAAGTCCTCGGGAATATTTCCCAGACGAGATCCGTCCGCGAGAGTATCTACGACAAAGTGAAATCGATATCGGCGTTACGGTTATATATCCGGCGGCCGAGTCGAACGGAAAGAAACGGCGGATTAAAGCGCGAGCGGATAAATTCGCCGCGTGATTAAAGCGCGCCGCGGATTATACCGGCGCGGGAAAATAAATATTCAAAGGGGATGCGCGTAATATTCATATCGCGAGTAATATTCCCGCAGCAAACTCCACACATACGCTTGTATATGCACGCACGCACGCACGCACGCACGCACGCACGCACGCATGCACGCACGCACGCACGCACGCACGCACGCACGCACGCACGCACGCACGCACGCACGCACGCACGCACGCACGCACCGCACGCACGCACGCACGCTACGCA